TGATAATTTACATGAATAACTTTGATCAAATTGGAGATTTTTTTTTGTAGATGTTTTAGTATTTGGATGGGAAACGTCCACCACTGTAGAAAGATCCCTTTCTCAAACTATATTTGGCAAGATATGCTCAAACAATTTTGGAAGAATCGGACAAAAAAGAAATTAAAAAAAAAGAACACCATGCTAAATCTAGACGACGCCGGATCGAAGCAAAAGAGAAAGAACCCACCATCCATGTTTTGCTCCTCATTAGTCTGTCGGGGTGAGTGGACGGTCAGGCTGGGACTTCTTTGCCGTAAGCCCCAAGAAAATGTGGGCGGCATATTGGTCTGCAAACACTTTTAAAATGTACATGAGCTGTGCTTTGGCTTTGGTGACAAAGTTGAAACTTTGCCTGAATTCAAAAGAAGTACTCTGAAAGAGACTGAAACAGCTCATCACAACGTAACTCATTTGTTGCAGCTATGCCATGGTGTTACATCACCAACACCAACAGTGATGGCAAAGACATCCACATTGCTTTGTCGGCATAGAGAATGAAAGCTAAAAATATGATCAAAGCAAATGAACTTGCAGGTAGAGAGGGGGAGTGTGTGTGTATGTGTGTGTGTGTGTGTGCTAGGAGTTACTGAGCGATTAGATCAGATGGAGATCTAATCGCTCTGTGATCTCGGGTTTTAGCTGCGTCAGAAAACATACTCGTACACTCAGAGGCACCCACGTTCTCATCCACACAGACAAGGACACGCACTTAATCAGCCTGACGCACACACGGACACACACGTGGCAAAACCCTCTTCATCAGTGCATCATGGGTCAGTCTTTAAAGTTTGTTAAAACAAGGCAGAAACAGAAACAAAGTGTAGTAATATCAACCAGCATATTAAAATAAATACATAGGAAAAGCACCTACGCGCTGAACATTCAGGGCAACATAAACAGATGACCATTCTCACGTTTTATGTTTGATTCATTTTGGCTCTCACCGCCGTATCAGCATTGCAGGGATCTAAATAACAGTCTGCGTTATCTTTGCGCTCGCCATCTCAGCTGATCTATTAGATTCGTCCGGAGCGCAGAAGCCGTTAAGATCTGGTCTTGACTCAGACAACGAGGAGCAATGGCGCGAATGGATGGGAAAAAAAGACACACCTTGTTAGGTAGAACCCTCAGCATACCATCAAAACACCAAATGAGAAAATATACATTTTTTCAGTAGACACTTGGAGTTTGTATGAAATGAGCCTTAATTTTCTTCTGGAGGGTCACAAATACCTTCCTTTTATTCTTGGATCCTGTGTGTATACACACATGAAGCAATGAAGACACCTTGATGCTCTCTAACAGATACACTAATGCGAGTACCATTATTCTATTCCCAAATGTGTTGTACATCGTTTTAGATATGTTTACATACTTATGCAATATGCACAGTAAAAATAAGTTTGAATGAGAATTAAAAAATAATTAATTAATTACAGGCCATGGACATGAAATACAAAATATATTTTAGTTGCATGATGAAAGAAAGAGCAAACCCATGTGTGTATGTATTACCTACAATTAGAATGCACTTCCTCATACTGAACAGTTACATTTCTTATCCGATTGTAAAACCATCTGACTCTGGAAACTCTTTGAGGGACACATTGGAACAAAAAAATGGAATTGTGTGAGGAGGTAAGAACATGACTGGAGCTGAAGCAACAGATGGTGAAACATTTCTTGCTATAGATGTCGTGGCGCAGGGGGTAGAGAGGGTGTGCTGATGATGTCCCATGTCGAAGTGTCCCTGAGCAAGACACCTAACACCGAGGTTCTCCTCGGGCAAAATGTAAGAGCCATGGGTTAAAAATGTAATGTAAGTCGCTTTGGATAAAAGCGTCTGCTAAATGACCTGTAATGTAAAATGACTCCCTTCAATGCACTGATCACCAAACCAGGGCTGAGAAGAAAATATGAAGGACTATGATGTAATTCCATTCAAAACTTTTTCGTTTAGACTGCTCATATCCTACACATGCAGCAATTCCTGTGAAAAACAATGTACTTTAAGTAATAGAGATTACAAATAATTGTTTTGGATGTCATTCACGTATTTCTTAAAGAAGAAGACCAGTAAAGGGGATGGTATGCATGTGATACACAGAAATTGACATGTGTTGCTGGCTTTTGTAGAATATCATAAGAAGCGTACTATGAGGATACGTTGGCGATTTCATAATATTACCATTGCATGTTGCCTTGTTCCTTACTGCATTGTATCCTGCAAGCTGCTGGCTGTATGTTTGAATATGCATTCTTCAAGATGGATGGATGGTTGTCAACGTGCCTGCATACTTGTAGTCTTTGTATCCTGGCGTGTCACGTCATTTTAGTGTGAGAAGCCAGGAGGAGGAATACATCCACCATGCTGGAGGTGTACTTGAGCAAGGCACCAACCCCGATTCGATGTACAATATCTGACCTCTGATGCAAGGATTTCCTTTCAGGAGGTGTGCACAGTACTTTGTCCTTGTGTTTTCTTTATGTGGCTCAAACCTTTTGGGTTAAGTCAATGTTGATCTGTCTGAGGTTGATCTTTTCCTCACCATCAACATTTGTCCTTTATCTTTGCAGCAGAGAGTGTTGCATCAAACCCAGCAGGGAGACCTACAAAAGGAAATGGTAGTTCCTATCCATATGGTGTCCAGTGACACACACACGCCAGCAGGGAGAGAAGAGATCCATCAGCCTATCTTTGGCCGACTGCAGCGGTCGCCCACATAAATGTCCCGCTTGGCTTTGCTCTGATCACATAATTGCTGTGTGCACACCTCTCTCCCCCCCACACACACACACACACACACAGAAAGAGAGCACACATTCAGTGAGCATACACGGAAGCACACACTTTTCACACACACACAAACACACGCTTAAAACTTGGATATACACAGAGCCCAAAACACACATACCCACACACACACATTGGCAGTCACTGTTCAATATGACAAGAAGAGAAGCGTTCAAACATTCAGGAATGCCTGCCAGCGTACTCGCACGTATACATGATAGGAAATAGCAAACAAAAACTCCCACCAGATCATCCACATAGTCGGCACGCCGAGAAGAGAGAGTAAAAGATGAGAGCGAGCGAGGAACGCAGTGAACACTTGGAAGCCAGAGCTTCACAAAAGACGGATTTACCCCAACACAATGCAACCAATTGTGTCGCGTTGGTCGCCTTTTGTCTACTCGTCTGATTAAAGATGAATCCCCGCTCTATTCCCCTGGAAGTTTCGCAACATAATACATATGGTGAGGATGTGTGTGGGTGTTGGGATGGCCTGGAAGACATTTCTGGCAAGTTCCTCTCAACCACATCACACAATTTCTGCCTACTGCAGGGACTGTGGCTCTGCAGGGGAGGTGGAATTTCGATCACTGCTTTGAGGACATTTAGTCTATGGTTAGTTCAATTTAGTTCAAAAGACTGGAATACGGATGAACGGGTAGCCTGGCTCATCCGCAGATCCACCTATGAGCAACTTACTTACTGTCACGGATTCTCCGCCTTGTTCGTTGTCTTCCCGCCTGCTTGTTCAATTAACTCTCCTGTCATTCCAGATCCTGTGAGCCACACCAGATCATCTCTCCTGCCCTTCTCACCTACAGCCCATTCCCTCATTATTCCCTCACTGCTTAGGTCCCCTCACTTACACGGGCCCTCTGCCAGATTGTGATGTGTGTTATTGCCAAGCTCTCCAGCGTATCCTGAGATTTGTTCCTGCCTGTTCCCACTCGGTTGACCTGACTACTCGACCTAGGATTTTTGCGTGCCCCCTTTTGGGATTTGCTTGGCTATTTAACTGACCTCCAGATATTCCCTTGAGAATAATAAATGAAGCCACCTAGTGTCCACGCTTCTGTTTAAAATGCTGCTAATTCCCCCCAATTGATCCACAATCAAACCAATCAATGACCACTGAGAAAACATACACACACATTTCTCATGACATGAACAAACTCTGCTAACCATTGTTCATATATGAAGCCATCTTTCGTAGAAACCAGCTGGCACCCATTTTTAAACAGTTATAACCAATAACATTTTCAGAGCTGTTTACGCTCAACTAGTCTACTTTATTACTTTTAATGTAATGCAGAAGCCCACGGACATCATCCTCCGACGCTGCGTGAAGGACTGCAATGGGATTGTTATTCACTTGATTAAACCTCGAGGACCCACAGTGTCAAACACAAGGAAGCAAAATAGTAAGACAGGAATTCATTACAGGGGAATCAATTGTAACTGGATTGTTGAACTCAGAAGACTTGATACTGCTAAAGTCGGGAAGCACTTGGCAGGACTGAATGGTAATACGATCACATGTGCTGCTGGTAATATTCATAATTAGAGAATCTCTTCCTTTAGCTGTGAATAGAGCCTGAATAAGTAGCTCGCCTGGATGTCAAACACATCCCCTCACTGTACGTGTCACTCTAAGTTTTATGGAGACGGCATGGCAAACGCTAATAGCCCAGTCGTCCTCGCTCCCTGGAGCCGATCAACGCGACACAACAAATCGATCCCAAATAAAAGACCATCAGCAGATCTGTCATCAGCCGGCTGTCAATACGCAAATGCTGCACACGCTCGGCAGAAAGAGGAGGGGAGGGCAAAAGTGCTCTGGGAGCTCTGAGGTGGAGGGTGATTGTGGAGAGAGGAGACAGGGCATGTAGAGGTACGCAGCATTGCATCAACTAATGTCCATAATCCATTATCAGATAGCAGAACAAAGATATTGGGAAGGAAGAGAGGGACCAAATTTGAAAGCAATAATAGTGAGGAGTAGACGACGTATGACGTATGAGAGACGAGTGGCATAGCCCTCTTGTTGTTTTCTAGGAGACAGTGGAGAGGATTTGTTGGAACAAAAACTTGTTTTTGCCCATTTTATCAGCAAAAGGAAAAGTCTTGAAGTTGTAGACAACAGAACACATGCGGATCATCCTACCGGAGTTCCTCTTAGAGATGTACTTGACGCCGTCACAGGCTCCCGAGGCAAGGAGGAGGAGGAGGAGGAAGAGGAGGGATAAAGGCTTCATCTCTCTATTCCCCGCTGGTACCTGTAGACATCAGGGGACAGTGGAAGCTCTGTGTTAGAGATTACAGGTAGCATGTGTGCTGTTACACACTGTCAACACCATTACACCGACACCAAGCGTTACAGACTAGGGGGGGGGGGGGGGGCGGAAGGCATTCTACACTGTCCAGTCCAGCGCTTTCTACCAAAGGGGCCAAGCCTCCAGCTGCTCAGCAACAGTGGGTGAATGCAGGGGGAAATCTTACTTTGAGGGGACGTTGTCAGTCATTTGGGCCATTCCAGAGTTTAAACTTTGCTCACATTTGAATATGTAACAACCTACAACAACAATAACGAATACATCATTTTGATTTGTGTAAGCAGAATTCTCCAATTTGTTTCATTTTTCTTTAAACAGATTGACCTCACAGAACTTTTCTTTAATAAAAATACCTGCCATGAGTATCTTAATATCCGATACCAGAATTCGATGCAATACCGCAAATAAGATACTGTTATATTTATAGTAACAAATCAAACATCTCCATGGATCCCTTTTATACAGCGTGTTCCTGCCCAGCTGTTTTAACATGTCATTAATATTAGTATTAGGCTACAGCAACATATTAATGAAAACTACATGGTGCCATCATAGCATTGATTATACACAGCTATGTAATGTAGCCAAAGTAGGCTACTTTCAGATTTAAATTTTTTTCCAATAAGCCATGGGCGGATCTTAAGTGCGCTCTAATCTTGCGCTGTTTCATTGTATTCATTGTGTCAAGTATCGATAAAAGAAATATGCAAAATCTCAGACCTCTTGGCTTTTTCTCATCGGAGCACTGCTAATAAAAATATTCTACAAGGAAATTAATGTTTTCTTTCGGTTGTGTTTGGACATGACACATTTTTCAAATCGATGTTAGAACGTGAAAAGTAAAGAGAAAAAACGGCAACAACAATGGGGCAATCCCAAATGTGATTGTGTTTGGGCCAAACTGCTGTATAAAAGTGAAAGTCAAAACACTATTACAAAAAGGGCAGCGACAACAGCACCAAATAAAAGGCATTAACATCGATCCAAAGCCCAGATTTGATGAGGTTATGAAAGCATCAATTTTTTTGGTTCAAACAATTGGATTCAAAATACAGAAACAAAATCATATTTGACCACTGGCTGGGAAATACAAAGGCTGCTGAAGCTTTGGGGCACACAAAGTGTCTTTGACCAGTCATTTGAAATCACATTGATAGAACACAATCAGATTTTCTTGTACTTTCTTTGTGCAGACAAACACAAGCACACACGTGCGGTCGGGCACCGACACACATTGTCCGAAGCGCACTCTCTCCGTCCGTCGGAGTTTGCTCACCTGTGTGTGCACACTCCAACGTGCACAGTGTGCACACGTGTGTGTTTGCGGGCACACATTGGGCAGAACTCACTGTGGGGAATTGTAAACACGTGAGCATGTAGGAGCACAGAAGAAAAGCAGCTAACTAGAATGGTGAAGGCCAGTGGGTCAGGCTAACCAGGCTGGCTCATGTGTTTTGCGTAACGCTGGATTTGGGACTTCTTCAACCAATCGATTGAGACAACAAAGATACCATTACATAGAAAAACATTAAAAAAGAAGAAAAGAACAACGCTTCAAAGCAAATGATTTAAGCTATGCACCGAACCCACTGCGACAGCCACATGGGGACCGACCCGACTTAGCAGGACCTGTAGTGCACACAGTCTTTGTTTTTGTTTTGCTGCCTCCTGGCCTCAGAGGCTGCAGACAGTTTCCAGTCATCAAAGCAGGAAAACAGGTTGTGCCGGGTCATGTTTTACTGTAGCAGTGGAGGCTAAATTGAGCTGTTGGCTTCAGGTAAACACAGTAAGGCAGGCACTCTGACAAGCAACGCCGAGAAAAAAATCCAAAGCGTGAGTCAGTCCTACGTGGGAAGAATTTGCCGTGTCTTTTTTGAAAAGTCAAAATATAAACTGAAAGAGGATTGCCGGCGGAGTTTGGCATCAGGACCATATATAATTTTGAGATGTAAACACCTAAAAATAGGAATACGATACTTTGAAAAAACATGTGAGGAAATGTATATTTTCCCACACCTCCTCCACAACTACGACGGGCCGGGTCGACTACAGAACAGACGCCGAGGAGCTGCTGGGATTCAGAAAACTCAACACGGAATTTTAACTGACCTCAGAACAGGGCATGAAATAAAAAGATTATAAATTATATGGGGCATCAGCAGTCCATTTCATCACTTTCACTGTCAGTTGGAAATCAGAATTAATGTCCCTTTGGGGGTGTGGCAAGATCTACGATCTGTCATCAATCTTAGTGCTGTTCCTTCGAACTACCCTATAAAAAGCCAAATTATATTAGCTTAGTTAGTTCTGTGTTATATTCCATTGAGGAAAAATAGTTTTTGAATCATTTAGTTTGTGTATCAGATGTTTTTGCTGTTGTTTTTCTGTTTTGTTGACTTATCCGGTGACAACAACAAATTTGAGGGCGAAGAAAAACAAAACATGAATATGTTTAATAAAGGTCACTCAACAGCAGATTTATAATGCTTTCTTGAAGAAAGATGTATTGAAAGAATACGTCCCAAAGGTAAGGAGACATACTAAAACACACACACACACACACACACACATGGTCATATGGTGGCACAGCATTAAAGAGGTTTTTATCCACTTTTAGAGCCTTTTAGTCTGAAACACAGCAAGGCTTAATGGAACTGCTAAAGGCTGTGTATGGTGTGTGTGTGTGTGTGTGTGTATGTGTGGAGGTATTCTTGCACTCTAGCTCACAATTACAAAAAAAGGCAAAGGGACTCAGCTGGAAAGGTTTCTGATATGTGCCTAAACCCAAAACATGTACAGTATATTAGCAGAAAAATAGATAATAATGAGAAGTGGCACATTTGTGAATGTATTTACAAAGGAGAAGACATATAAACCATTGAAATTGCTTTACTATGTATGACAGGATTTCTTCCCACAGGAACTCTTTAAATGTGTTTGGCCAAATAGCCGCTTAGCAACTGTAACAAGGCACAGCAGGAGCTAGGATATTGTACTTTGGGCTTTCAGCCTATTAAAGAAAGCAAAAACACAAAAGCCAATTTACGAGAAATTAATAAATAATTAATTATTAGTTTTTTGTCTGCTTATATCTCTGAGTGTAGAGTATGGTTATCTGTTCGCTAGTGCACTTTATCTTTAACTTTTTATTTTTATCCTTTTAATCCTTTATTTTTAAATTGTTTATTCTAAATCCCCAGCCTTATATTTTATTTATACCGTTGATTTCAACTGTAAATTCGTAAATTGAACATGCCATTTGTTAGGTTATCTTATCTGTCGTTTATTGCTATGCACCAACCGCCGTGTCAAATTCCTTGTATGTCTGACATATTTTGGCAATTAATGTTCCTGATTCGTGATGTCTAACTATCTCTACTTTTCTTTACTTCCGCTCATTAAGATTACATCTCAGCTAATAAGCTAGCGAAACAAAACCCAACCCTTCTGGTTTCTCCATGCTTGTCATGGTCTTAAGCTAAATGTCAGACCCAAGACATATTTGTAACACTTTAAATGTCACAATTTTTCACAATCGAAAAGTCCTTTCAACTTTTTCAACTCTTACTAGCAAAAACATTTACTGCCGATATGCACTGGTTAGCCAAAATAAAGATATTATAATAAAAGAAAGATACCGTTATATTCAGAACTAGTGTCTCTCAATTCAAAACAGATTTTTTCATACAGGTGTCAATCAATCAATGTGTTGTGGTCCGGGCTGTTGCTATGACGCTTGCAGCTCCTACTAAGAGAATTTGTCAATGCGGTCAGCTGTCACACCAAAGAAAAATGGTAGACCAAAGACAATCGGTAGCCAAAATAGCCACTAGTAGTCAAAAACTGACATAATATTTATTTTAGGCCAAACACACAATCAAAGATTCACTTTTACAGTTGGTATCTTTATATGTATATTTTATTTCCTTTTGTCAATAACCCACAGTTTTCTGTGCCTTACAAAGATAAATTGCCTAATTTACTGATACAAAAATCATCAACAAGGGAATTCCAACCAAGCATGTAATTTCTTGCCAAAACCATAGCAGCATTGATTATGGGCACAGCTGTTAGATGTGCAACCTTTAGGACCTACAATACGCGTTCATGCTAATGGACCGGCGATGGTGCATGAACGCATACATGTGCACGCAATGAAGGCGTGCTCCACTTGAGAGTCCTGTCGTTTGACTCTTTATTTTACTGTATATAGCTCAATAGAGTAAGTTCCCTTAAAGTGACCCTGATATATTGGGCCTGGTTCACCTTCACTTTGAGGATACTACACTTCCGTTATTGCTCACCGACACACACCTACGTTTTCCCCCAACCATTAAACTCTCCGACTGTCACACAGATTCGCTCATAGTTGCCGCAGCCTTCCCCCGACACGCTCATTGTCATAGATAGGCCCCCTGATTAAACACTGCTCTCTCGTTATCCCTGCATCTCTGTTGGCACCCTCTGCACTGCCTCATGCCCGTCACACACACACGCACAAGGACACCAAGGTCAGTGATGCTCTCGCCTCTTTTCGCACACATACACACCGACACACTTTGTAAGAGGGCAGCGGGAGCTTGTTTGATAGTTTGATCCACCGTGAATCAAGCATGGAAACGGAATCTCATGGCACACATTTGTGTGTGTGTGTGTGTGTGTGTGTGTGTGTGTGTGTGTGTGTGTGTGTGTGTGTGTGTGTGTGTGTGTGTGTAGCGGTTGAGGGTTAAGGCTTTTTAAAAGGTATTTAAATTAAACCCTAATGACCTGCAAAATACACCTTCAAACGCAATGAAGAAAGAAAAAACAGAGTGGGTGTTTGCTTTGAGTGAAAGGGTATCTAAGTGGGTTCAATGCACGCACAAGGAAACACACACACACACACACACACACACACACACACACACACACACACACATACACACTGAGAGACAGTCAGAGAG